AGTGAACCATGACCATTTTTAGACCGTCACTGGAGCATCAAGAACTCCTGAGTTCTAATCCTGACTCTGATAACTTGTTGTGTGATGTGTCCTTGGACAAGTAACCTAGTGCATGCCTCAGTTTCCTCATCTTTAAAAAGAGTATAATAAAACCTATTTCATACCTATTTCACAGGGATGTTGTGAGGATTCATGTTTGTAGAGCATTTTGAAGATGAAAAGCACAATATAAATATTTAGTATTAGTCTCAGTCTTGCAGGCAAGCTGTGCATATCCTTGGTTAAAATTGTTCTAATGGCATCCATCTGCATCTTGAATACAAGAAAGAAATTGTAAGACTGCCTGTCTATGATCAAGGCTTTTTCATGCAGCTCACCCTACTGTTTGGCATTTAGCCAATTGCAATAGCCTATTGAGGAGGGAAACAGCTCTGAAGGAAAGAATGTGCATGTTAAGCAGAAGTCGGCTTTTGCAAAGGGTGAGAAAAATAAGACAAATATCACCAACTGCCAAAGTACTCACTGGTACACACAAGAATGAAGCAAGGCAAAGGGAAGGAAAAAAATTTAATAGGCCCCTGACACCTTCCTCCTCATATCCCCCACTAAAGAGAATATCAGCCCATGTGCACTGCAGGCTGCAATAAAGAATTCTTCTACCTCAGGACCAGGTCTGCTTTACATTAAGGTTGCTTCTCTATGGAAAAATATGGGAGGGATTAGTTTGGAGCTACTTAAAGCAATCCAGAATGTGACCAAACTTTCATCATTACAGCAGTGATGTCAAAAGTTTGAGGGTCATCTAGGTAAGGCCAGATCACATTGAGAAGGCACCCAAGTGATCTGCTTTTCTACTAGTGTGACAATGACCTTTTTATTTAACTGGACTCATCTCACTATCAGATGCACTCTATATTTTGTTGCTGATCTACCAGGAGCTGACCCCCAAGTCTTCCTAAGAATTACAGGACACAGTGCAGAATCGCCAGAAATTTCTGTTGTCTGATACATATCTGATGTCAGAACTAGCCTCCTTACTTCCTCTCTCTAGTCATCTATGGATTCATTTCACTCAAGCTGTGCTGCAGCTGTACATTGCTGCAGAGCCGTAACAAACATATAGTGTTGCAGCCAATATATCCTCCTCCACTTCCTACAAGGTTTCAATCCGAGAGAGGTCAACAGGTAGCCACCTTCCCCTGATGCTATTTTCCCTTTTATAAGGCTCGGTACCTTCTCTTAAGCCCAACTGGGCAGTAAGTACTGTAATCTTTCACAGGTGCACTGGGCCCCACTCCCTCTTAAAGGGGTTAGTCACCCTTTGACAAGCCAACAGAAGTTCTGGATCTGTAACAGACCTGGCTGAAACACTGGATTAATTTTTGGCAAAACTTTTAGCAAAAAACTCGTCCCTATTTTCTGCTGGATTTTTTTTTTTTTTTTTTTTACTATCTCTCCTGCAATCACACTGTCCCTGCTGGTCTACTCTAGGAACTTACATCACCGCCATATCGGGAAGGAATTTCCCCCCAATTCAGAGTGACAGAGACCCTGGGGGGTTTTCACCTTCCTCTGCAGCATGGGGCATGGGTCACTTACAGGTTTAAACTAGTGTAAATGGTGAATTCTCTGTATCTTGAAGTCTTTAAACCATGATTTGAGGACTTCAGTACCTCAGCCAGAGGTTAGGAGTCTATTACAGGGGTGGGTGGGTGAGGTTCTGTGGCCTGCAATGTGAAGGAGGTCAGACTAGATGATCACAATGGTCTCTTCTGACCTTAAAGTCTATGAGTCTGTGTCTTCACTGTAGATTTAACCTGGTCTGGGCACCTCAGTTAGCCTGGGGCAGAGCGGGGGTCAAGCACTCCTGGGGAAATCAGCAAGTCGGCGCCTCTGCAACACCCCCCAACTCCTTATGCCCAGTGCCTCCCTGGACCTGTTATGCTCAGCACCCCGTCCCCACCCACTCCCCACAAATGCACAGCACCCTGCACAATGTCACCTCTGCCCAGTGCCCCCCTGCCCACAGCCCCAACACTACTGCCTAGCTCCCCACACAGAACCCCCACTCCCTAGTGCCCCAACACACAGATTTCCCCCACCCCCTCACAGCCATCACCCCCACCCCCAGGTTCCCCGGAGACCCACTCCCCCTTCCCTGCCTCCCAGCCGCACTCACTGGCCCTGCTGGGAGGTGACTGTGTCTGCCGGGCTGCGCTGGCAGCGCAGCCAGAGCTCCGGCCCCTTGGGAGTGGCGTGATTAGCCAGGCCAGGGCCTGCCCCGGCCGGGCTCCCTCAGGACCCACTTGCCTGGAGGGGCCCAGCCAAGCCTCCCACTCTGTCCCCCACCCCCAACTGGCCAAGACTGGTCAGGCTTCTGCAGCAGTCCGAGGTGGCTCAGCTTCCGGGAGACACGAAGGGCCCCACAGGTGGTGGGAAGCAGAGACTGCACGGACCTGGAACTGCACTGGTGTCTGGCCAAGGGGCACTCCCAGAGTGTTGCCAATTTAGCTACTTTCTCACTAGATTTAGTGACTTTTTGGTTTCCCTAGCAAGAAAGTAAGTGTCAAAGTGACCAGTGACAAACTAGTGACTTTCACTGCCAATTACAATTACACTCAGAGAAAGAAGTCACCAATATCTATAGTCACAAAATCATTCACAAGCAGCTCAGTAGTGTTATAAAATCCATCCCATGCTCTTCTTACTTCACTCTTTTGCACACCAAGTCAATATATTATGTCTCAATTGAGCATGTCCTCAGAAGGAATCACATTCCAGGGCTTCTTGGGCTGAGATCACTATAATCTGCAGGTGAGGAAAAGAAGTTTGTGGAGGCTAATTACTTTGCTAAAGCCAGGCACACTTTGAAGAGAGCAGCACATTAGCCCAGGCTTGTTTTTACCCAAATGTGTTCTTTCTCGCTGCTCTGTAGTAGGTAGCACACTCTGTGATGCGGGGAAGATGGCTAATGAAGCAGGCAGGGCGGGGGAGGCAGGTTAGCCAGTGAGGAGAGCCGCCTGGATGGAAGGTGGGGTGGGATGAGAGAGGGGCCATGTGTCCCAGTGAGGCAGGGGGCACCGTGCCTCTAGAGGTGAAGCCCTTAATACAGGATCAAAGGTGGAGCTAGCTTGATTTCAGTTCCCCTTTACTCCTTCCCTGGACTTGGCCTGGGATTAGCTGGCCAGCTGTTTTCAGAAATGGAGCCCTGGACGCGGGAGGATTGGGAAGGGGTCCGGCTAGAAATCTACTTTCTTGGCTCCCTGCAGTGCTGAGCTCAGCTCTGTACACTACAGCCCAGTACGGCTGGAGTTGGTTAATTTCAGCTGATCCTCCTTTTCTTGCCAGCCTGGATTTGAGCCAACCGGTTAGTGAAAGGGAGAGCCCAGAGCCCAGGAGGAAGAGGGTATTCACCTGACCTGAGCTCGGCGCTGCAGGCAGCCAAGAAAGTATTCTTAGCGCATGAACTCACTAAATGAAATGACTTGCAGCAGATGGTAAGGTATGGAGCCAGCTCAGGATGACGACCTGTTATAGCTGTTGGCATTAATACAATTCTAATTTCAAAACCAGGAGGCAAATTTAGTGCATGAGACACAGGAGAGGGCATTCCAGCTGAGGCTTGTCACCCTGAGAAGGCAGCACCATGCCTTGCTAGGCAGATAACACAAGTTACAGGCAGACATGTAAGAGTGGAGACAGTTGAGTTAGGTTTTAATAGCTATGGGTTCTCCCTATGCTCAGTGGCACCTGCAGCCATATGGACATGGTGTGTGCCATTGGCAGGGGCAGGGCTCCTGATGGGGGAGAAAGGGTAGTTTGCCCTGGGCCCATAGACCGAATGGTGTTTCAACCTGACATGCTGGGTCACAATGCCACTCACTGAAATTTGGCCTGGTGGCCTCTCTGCCTGGCCAAATCTTCAGTGGTGCTATGCTAAGTTAAAGTGAGAGTTGTTCACTTTCTGGAGGTGTCCCTACCTATTCTGACGTGTGGGAAGGCACTGGAGGACTATCAACACTCAAGTTAATTAGTCTGCATCAACAATGCAGAGTGGACAGGTTACCAGCCCAAGTGAAAGTGGCATCCAGGTTCTAGCCTGTCCACTTACTCTACTGGGCTATCTCCACTCAGCCCAGAATTCAGACACAGCCAAACTCGAGTTAGATGATGTTCTGTTGTGTGTTCTTGGGTTAAGGGCAACATCTGAGTAGGAGCCTGTGATAACTTTTTAGTGAAGAGGTCCCCTTAGAATTGCAATCAAATGCAATAGATACTGATGATAGAACAGGGGACTATTGTGTCTACTGATTAGGAGAAGAAAATGCATTGTCTATTAATGCTGTGTCCAAAAAATTACACCAATTGACAAAAAGTAAAATAAAATAAATCCTGCTTTCACTAAATTACTGAAGTGCTATGCCTAGGTATAAGAACCAGAACAGAACAGAACAGAATACCTTAGCAGGGTTGTTGGGTAGTTTGAAGTCTCCTCAGCTGAGAGGTGGGTGGATGTGGAAGTCATCAGAGGCCAGCTGTGTACCCTGGTTCCAGGGCTTTCCAGCTATTATCTTTCATGAGCACTAAATTCAATCAAAAATCAAAGAAGTTGAACAAAGGTAAAGATATAGAGAGACCTGCATAGCTCCATCCAGCTCGCTGCTATAGACTACAGTCCAGGGCTGTAGCACCAACAGCTCCCCTGGGGCAGGACCCCATTAACCCCAAAGCTGGGCGCCCACAGATGCGCTGGCTCCCACTCTGACCTTGCCTCTTGCAGAAGGTCCCGGGTGTTAGCCGCGGAAACATTCTCTCCCCCCCAAAGGGCGCCGGTGCTCTCCCTGCTCCAGAGTCCCAGGCTGCGCGCCTGGAGAACGCGCCCGGCCACTGGACTGGGCGGCCGCTTGCACAAGGACAGTATGTCACAATGCAGCTGCCGCGAACGAGCAGCGACCCCAGCAACCGGCCCTCGCCGGCTGCTGCCTGCAGAGAGCCAACAGCTGCCGCTGCGCCCGGCGCTGGGCTGGGTCCGCCAAGGAGTAACCGAGGCAAACCGCAGGCAGGCAGCCGGGCAAAGGCGAGGGGCTGCGACGCGTCATGCCCGCCAGTACCCCCAGACGCTCCCTAGGAGCAGCCGCTACGGGGAAGAGGATGATATTTACAGGTAATTAGTGCGTCTCCGCACCTGAGAGCCCGGAGCTAGTAGAACAGGACAGCTGCGAGCCAGAGCCAGCGAGGCAGCGAAATCTGTACAGTATAGCAAGCTGCTGCCTCGTAGCCAATACGACAGGGCTGCAATTAATATGATTATATTATTCACACCCTAAACAATTATGTTCGACTATATTATTGATCATAAGCAGGAGCAATATGGACAAAGAAAAATTAAGAATTGCAATTCACTGTAGATAATGTTTTCATCGCTTCTCGGCTCTCTGTGAGCTGAGGGGTGAAAACATTATCTACTATTTTGTAATGGTGTTGCAGCTTTATTTTATCGAGTCTGTGTGTGGGGGGGGGGGTCTTGATATCTAGATTGAAACCCCTCTCTTCATTGTTCTTTTTTATGATACTGTCTTTTTCCATCCAGTAAATGTCTCCATTGTTCAACCGTAAGGACTTATTTAATGTATGCGTGTGAGAGAAACACACACAAAGCAGGAACGTGAAATCGACACTTCCTCAAGTTGGAAGCTTTTGTGCTCTGCTCAGCAGTGCTCATTCTTTATTGAAAAAGTGTGCCCTGAGCCTAGGTATTAAACAAAGAGACTATATCAGCGTCTGAGAAGAGCGCTACATCTGAGGGTCTGTATGAAAACCTCCTGCTGATAGCAAAGAGATTTCCCAGCGTTGCAGTTTAATAGTAGTTACAAAGTTGGATACTTACTAGAAACACATTTGAATTTTAAATGTCTAGAAAACACAGTATAAAATGAAAAAGCACAGGAATTAAACTGAGGGACTGAGAGCAAATGTGTGTGTATTTAGTTTTGAAATTTCAATTAATCCTGGGACCCTAACTTTATAATCAGAGAAATAATACCTATCTGAAATTTGAATTATACACAATTATTTGATAGCTTGATTTCAGAGTACTCCTATACTATTAAACAATTAATTGTAAAAATCACTTAAACTTTCACTTTCATCCTTATACTCCAAAGAACTGGAAACAAACTATGAATTGTAGAAAGTATTTCAGACATGGTACACATTATTGAGAGTTATATTGAACACATTAAGCTGTGCTCTGCATATTATATACAGTAGTATAGTTCTGCCACTAGGGTACAGTCCCAATAAGAAAATATGAATAAAATACATTTGTCTTCATTCCAAATCTGTGTGTCATTCACAGGTATTAATTTAACAGTTCAGCACATTTAGATCTGTACAGGGGCAGCTGGCTGGGTCCCTATTTTATTTGGTGCACATGGACACATTCCATTAGGGGGCCCAAAGCAGTAGCAGAACTGCATTGAACAGCCCAGCAGAGCACTTTCAAAAGTGCCCTTAATAAATATACTTGCACATGTGTAGCTGGAGTTTTGACCTAGAGCAGTCACTGTGGGTCTTATTTGTCTCCTTCTCTAAAGTACCCTGTGGAAGTGGACAAGTTCTGCAAGAAACTTCACCAGTTTTACCATGTACTTCCTTCTAAAGTGTCCCTATGGAGATAGGGATGCACTCACAGACACACAGAGCGGTGAGGAGCTGGTTGGCTCTCTACACCCACAAGTCTCAGGAGATGGGGCCATTTAATCTGTCTACACCAGTGCTCCCACCATTGTTACCACTGAAACTGAGGGCCTTTCAGCAGCTCAGCAGAGTACCCTCTCTTCCTGGCAGCCCTTTATGTGGTTCCTGTCAGTGACTGCTCTTAAAATTGCCCGTCACCAGTAGTCTGACACTGCAGAAGGGCACTACAAAAGTGCATGTGGATAGGGCAGCACTGTTATCTTATGCAGGACAGTGGCACAGGAACAGCCATCACTGATCCCCGACTCATGGAGTTCAAACACTATGGTGTACACATGGAGAGGCTTCCCTGGGGCTAATACCAGTTTAATTAAATTGATTTGAAAACTGATTTTGGTTTAACAGGTGCAAGTTTATTGTGCAGACAAGGCTGCAAACTGACAATCCCTATATTTTTCTCGGGGTCAGGTGTTCTCAGATGACCCTTCAATCTGGAAATGCCTCTGTCACATTAGAACAGAACTAGAATTTATTGATCACCTAGACAAGCTGCAATGCCAAATATCCACTCAGGAGTTTTCTATAGGTCAAGTCAGTGGCAGAGTTGAGATTAACATTGAGTTCCCTGCTCCCAAATCCAGTGCTCATATTAGTAGACCATGCCTCGCTCAAGGAAACTGTAACTCCAAAATGCATGTTGTTACTCCTGGGGAGATTCTGCGCCACTGCGCATGTGCAGAATTCATATCCCCTGCAGAAAAATGACTGACAGGGAAGCAAAGGGAAGCTGCAAGAGCAGTCACGCACCACTTCCTTGCTGCGCAGGTACATAGTTTCAGGCACCTGGAGCAGCCGGCGGAGAGGTAAATCATCGCAGAGCTGGGGACACCCCAGCCAGTGGTTCCTACCCTGAGCTAGGATCAGCTGCTAGTCCCGGCTGGACTAGAGGCAGGAGAGGATGGGACTTCCTCTTCACCTGCAAGGAGTAGCTGGGACTGCATCAGACCCACCCCCAGAAACCTCCCCCAGCTGCAGGAAGCTCAGCATCCTCCCCTGCTTCCTGCCCCCATCGCTCCTCAGCTGCGGGGGGAGGGGTCACTGTATGGGGAGCTGCTCCCCCATCCACCCAACCCCCATGCATCTAGACCTCCCATACCCAGACACTCCCGCCAAGCCTCACCCCATACACCCAGAACCCCCTTGCCTTCCATACTGAAACCCCACCCCATTGAACCTCAACCCCTGCATCTGGAGCCTCCAGCACCTAGACCCCTACACCCAGACCACTCCCCACTGAACTCCCTACACTCAACCCCCACCCTCATGAGCCCCACCTCCCTGCACCACCCTGAGCCCCCACATCCAGTCCCCCATGCAACTGACCCCCAATTAGTTGCACCCAGACCCCCACCCCACCCCACCAAGCCCCACTCCCCCAGCACCAAGATTCCCCTGCTGAGACTCCCACACGCCTCCACTGAACCCCAACCACTTTCACCTGGAAGCCCCTGCAGAGTCCCATTGCCTCTGCACCTAGAACACCCCCTCCCCAATGAGCCTCTGTGCATCCAGACCCCCCACTGACCTGTCTGCACCCAGATTGTCCCACATAGACTCCTCTCACCCCACATCTGGATGCCCACACACTTTGCCCCTCCACACTTGGATCCTGCCTGTCCCACACCTGGTGCACCTTGTGCAGAGGGGCAGTGCCCCACAGTGTTTCTGGGGCAGGCCCAGGCCTTGTGCTATGTCAGGGTCGGGTGCAGCCTCACCACTGTGTCCATATCCCAGGGGTGGAGAGGCTGTAGGGTGATCTCCCACCTTCATGCAGCCAGTGGCCTGTGCTCCCCACTGCCATGCTGGAGCCTCTGCATTTATTTATTGCCAAATAAAACTTGCAGAATTTTGCAGAATTTTAAAATATTGTGTGCAGAATTTTTAATATTTTCATGCAGAATTTTTACTTTTTTGGCACAGAATGCCCCCAGGAGTAAATAATATTGTAAAAACAACAAATGAGCTTTACATTATACATGTATAGACTTAATAAACTCAGCATTTTTCACAAACATTACACATTTTTCCTCTCATTATCCCCTCTGTGGAAGGTTTAGGCCTTTGGATCTGCATAGCGCCAGATCTACTAGCTGTTCCCTTGCACTTGCCTCACCATGCCACTGAAATCCTCCTCGATATATTGTTCCCCTGTGTGGTATGCTCCTTTGTCCAACATACCCACAATTTTAGGGTGTGTTTAGAGTCTCCTGTGACTGCAGAGGACAGATGAGGCAGCATATAGCCTTAGAGATGTTGTTTCATTCTATCTGCAAACTCAGCACTGCATGGGTTTGCATTCACAATTGTATTTTTTCAACTTTTAAGGGATAGAAGGAATTTTTGAAAAAGATAACATCTATTCCATTGAAATTGATGGGGCCACTAGAGAATGCTCATCTGACATGCCATGGTGAGGGCTTATCTACACTGGCATTTTCCAAAAATCTCCCAATGTAATACTACCACCAGTAGTAGCAATACTGGGACCATTAGCATAACACTAGTGATAGGCTGGCCATTGGCCATTTAATGTCTACACTAGTGATCCCACTAGGGTAACCAGACAGCAAGTGTGAAAAATCGGGATGGGGGTGGGGAGTAATAGGAGCCTATATAAGAAAGAGACCCAAAAATCGGGACTGTCCCTATAATATCAGGACATCTGGTCACCCTAGCTCCCACCATTGTTACCACTGAGACTGAAATACAACAATGGGAGATTTTTAGAAAAGTGCCAGTGTGGATAAAGCCTAACTGGCTCAATCCAGCCCCTGTGCTACAGATTGTATTGGGATTTTTAATACCCTGTAAATGCTTGATCCTTTGTTATTGAAATCAGTAGAAAGATTCTCACTGAGATCAATGGGTGCTGGATCAGGCCCTAATGCACTCTCCTATGAGTAAATATTTTTCTGTGGAAAGCACTCTTGTTGAGAATCTAATCTTGGAAAGTGATCTTGACTCTTCATCCTGGCCACCTTTAATTCAATAAAGTTGCAACATCTTTGTTTCATTCAGGCAGTATCACTGTACTATTGTAAATGTCTGATCACTGTCAGGCAATTTCAACACAAGAGTAATAGTCAAGGTTATTTTTAAAGAGTCAAAGGCAACTTAATCACAGCCTTAGTTCAACTAAAAATGCAGTGTTTGCTTTTAGTAACAGAGCAATGAAGTGCAAGTAAAGCAAGCAATACATTTCACATCATAACTTGCTGGCTGCTATGGCTGGTAACTATGTTATACAACCTACTGTATCAGTTCAAAGTTAGCATAATTTTCATACACATTCTGAAACTCTCAGTATAAAAAGAATTAACCTCTATATTTTAGTTTTCTAGTATGGTATTCACAAGGAGGACTTACGCTCTGCAACACTGAGCGTCAATGTGCCTAACTGTTAGG